GGCGAGTCCACAGTCTCCTCTGTCTCGACACTCACACTCAGGAAGATAGATGAAGTGCCTGGCTCTCTCTCCAGGGAGAAGAAACCGCAGCGCGGGCTTCCGAACCCTGAGAGAGAGCCGCGGATCTAGCGGACACACACTGGGAGCAGTTGGGGGTTCGGTGCCTTGCTCAAGCTGGTGGAGCAGGCGGCCAGAACAGAGCAGTTGACCACCACAGGTCAGGAGGTCATGGCGGAGCAGAGACACCACCCTCCTGAACTTTTTAATGCTGTACAGTTGCTTTGACACAATCTGTATTGTTAAAAGCGCTATATAAATAAAAGTGACATGGACAGACCACCTGGCCGTGACAGAACAGGGAGACGGTGTGTGAGCGGCCTCCGTGTCCGCGTCATGACAGGCAGAATATCCTTGGAAGGTCTCAGTGGCCGTAGCATGACAGGTAGAGAGTTCGTGAGCGGCCTCCATAACCATGACATGACAGGCAGAGTGTTCAGAGACGGCCCCCATGGCCGTGACAGGACAGGCAAGGGGTTCAGGGTTGGCCTCCTTGGCTGTGACAGGGCAGGCTGAGAGCTCAGAGACCACCTCCTTGGCCATGATAGGGCAGACTGTGAGTTCAGGGATGATCTCCTTGGCCATGACATGGCTGGCATAGGACTCAGAATAGCTGTGGTGGTCACCGGCACCTCTGGGGAAGTGTATGTGGCCCACATACACATGATGTCAGCGGCTATTACAGGAAGTAATGTGGACAGTGGGATGACCTCCGGGAACACCAGACTTGGACATGGGACCACCAAGAATGGTCTTGAGGAGGTGAGACTCTGGTCTGATGGCCAAGATGGCTGGAGACTAAGACGTGGCAAGGCTCTGGCCATCAGTCTTCAGCCATTTGGCATGGTGGCCATGACGTGAAAAGGCTTTGACTTGGTGACAATATATTTATGTAAATTAATAACTACCTTTGATGTTATCTGTAATATTTATGATATTTTGGCGCAGGATAAGCAATATATAAAAATTGTTAAAATGGGTTTGTCTACTGCACATTGCCAACACAGGTAACTGATCTAACACTAAATGTATTTCTTTAGGCATGTGGTTATGGAAGAAATATTAAATATAAACACATCTTGGATTATTAGCAGAAACTCAAGCGAATATATAATAAAAAGTACAATACAAGTCTGTGTTACTACCGTATATTGCACTACGTTGTATTAAATTCAAGGTTTACCATGCATCATCTCGCTCGGAGCAACAGCAAAAATGATTGGAAATAAAGCTTCATGTCTTTAAGTCCATACGCAGTCAGCGATATTTATATGAATAAGCGTGTATTTTATTTCCTGATGTCTTTTTATTGACCAACATCCATTTCCATTTCAGACTCTTGGAGGTCTTAGAAACCAAGACCGGGTTAGGGGTTAGACCCTAAAGCCACAGGTCAGTGAAAATTTTATGGCTTTTTACAAGCATAACAGTTTGCATAGGAATTAAGTGTTATTTGTAAATATTGTAGAATCAAATGTTAAATCAATCACCTTAAGTTAAGTTGTTATCTTAACTGCTTCAAATTACATAATGTCAATGAAATTATTTAGAGTTACTGTACGAATAAAAAAAAATTATATAACACATTATTCCAGCCACTGTGAAAAACTGCACAAGGTGAATTAAGTTGTATGAGCATACCTTGCAGATTTCAGATTGAGCACTATGACATTTGTAATGTCATATTTTGAGGTGACTCGTCCATCCGCTGATCTGACGGAAGCTACTGTAAACTGAATAAGCAGGGAAAATGCCTGACAAATCATTTACACGCTTAGGACATCTGTGTTGTTAGAATGCACAGGGGAACTTAATATATAGAAACACTTGTTAGGTAGTGTTTTCTCATTAAAATCAAATGATTTCCTATTAATTCACTAGAATGTGTGTGTACACCAATATGACAGAGTGCTGGGCCTCACATGTTATGACCTCATGAGAAGTCCATTTTATTTATTACAGATCAGTGGTTGGACCCCTCTTTTGATTACTGAAATTGTTGATTTTTATCTAATAGTTCAAATTTTAGCACACACAAATTTCATTCCATATTCCTTCACAAAAAGCTGGGGTGCATTTCCCAAAAGCATCATTAGCCAACTATGGTCGCAAGTTCCGTCGTTACCAGCATAGTTCAACGATTCTGTGTTTTCCGAAACCATAGTTCAAACGAACATTCTCAAACAGCGTCACAAACTTACGTGGTAGGAACTACAGCTCTCGACCTGTGGTTAGAAGCATAGTTTCTTGTTAGTAAGATATATGGACTTTAAATTATATTATATTATATTATATTATAAATTATGCTCTCGGGCACAATAAGAATAAGCAAGCTAACATGCAGTACAATCTATACCGTCCATTCTATTTAAATATATATACATTTTAATCGATAGATTTTAGCGCGTCGTCAATAAGCGCCGTTTTTGAAGAGTGCGCACGTGCATAAATGCCTAAGGGAACCCCGGAGTATGACTTAAAGGGGTCATATGATGCTGCTAAAAATAACATTATTTTGTGTATTTGGTGTAATGAAATGTGTTTATGCGGATTAAGGTTCAAAAAACACATTATTTTCCACATACTGTACATTATTGTTTCTCCTCTATGCCCCGCCTTTCTGAAACGCATCAATTTTTACAAAGCTCATCGGTCTGAAAAAGCGAGGTGTGCTATGATTGGCCAGCTATCCAGTGCGTTGTGATTGGCCGAATACCTCAAGCGTGTGACGGAAATGTTACGCCCCTACTTTACTGTGATGATGCCTTGTCAGGCTGGAGGGATGATTCAAAAACAATAAAACCCATTATAAACGAGGCATTTGTTGCATCCAGTGGGGACATAATTATGGATTATAATGACTTATACTGTCTTTTTACGCGTTGCATTGCATCGCGCCGCGTAAACATAAAACCATGTCTGCATTTGTGATCAGAGAAATGACAAACAACAAGTGCTAACATTAATCCACACTGCCCAAAACTCGCGTTTGAATCATAAGTGGCAAATCAAGAGCTTGTAACACTCCAAAGAGAAAGGAAAAATTGAAATCGCATCATATGACCCCTTTAAGAGGAAACCCGCGATGAATCAAACATCAAATAAAGCAAAATGACAGGGAACAAAACATAGTAAATTAGCCATCAGGTGCCATGTTCAATACAGCAGCATCTCAGAGATGAAGTTATTACTCCACCACATGCATGTGACATCATTAACAACGGCCCTAAATTGCTGAACTAATGTGGTTCAAACGATGGAGATGCGACCGTGTTCGGGAAACAGGCTAGTTCGTTTCCACAAAAAATGCATCATACTATGGTGATTAATCAGTGAGTTACGTCGTTGTATGGGAAACGCACACCTGATTGCTTTGATTATAAAATGCCAGTGGAGTTAATAATCACAGACTCACAGTGTACAGTGATATTAACAGGATGATAGTTCTCTCCAGATTCAGACTGACACCAGTACACTCCAGTGCTTGATGTGGTGATGGAGCTGAATGTACATGTAGATCCTGTTTGGGATGCCCAGCGTAATGAACAATCTTCCATCCCACAATGGTCTGTGTAATTTCTCACTCTCCATCTATCAGAGTTACTCTGGTCCTCACAGCTCAGAGAGAGAGAGACGGATGTGAAGTGCTGAGCTCTGCTGGGACTGATGATCAGAGAGACTGGAGGAGAAACACCTGAGCAAACAATTACAGCTATAATGTTTCAAAATTGTGCATTAAAATTCTCTTATTAAAGATGAACTAATCATTTAAGTTGTGTATGAACTCACCAGTGACCCATAGTGGCTGTTTGTTGCTGTAGGTTGTTTTATAGGCTGGTTTTCCTCTCTCTGCTCTGCACACATAAACTCCTGTGTGATTTAGAGCAGCAGAACTGACAGTGTAGTTTCCTCCAGCTCCTCTGCTGCTGTCTGAGAGCAGCTTATAATGATTGCCGTAGTCTGTAGAAAGTAAGAATGTGCAGTTGTCACTTAAAGATGCATTTCTACATGATCTTTAAAAGGTGATATAACATTTTCATCTTCTTTCAACTTCACATGAAGCACATTATATCTTACCTGATGAAGCAGTTAGAGTGTACCAGCTGAATGTCCAGCCTGTAGAGGAGCCGTAAACCTCACAGATCAGAGTCACTGGATCTCCTTCAGTCAACCACTTCTGTGGAGAAACACTTAAAACTGCCTGGACTGTATCTGAAATAGAGAAATCACTCATTAATAACATGTTAAACGTGTGTGTGTGTGTGTGTTTTTGTGACATATGAGGACACAAATTTGTATAATGACATGGGTATGACAGAGGTATTACAAGGAGAAGGTGACTTATGAGGACATTACCCCATGTCCCCATTTTTCAAAACGCTTATAAATCATACAGAGTGAGTTTTTTTGCAAAAATGCACAAAGTTTCCTGTAAGGGGTAGGTTTAGGTGTAGGGTTGGTGTAGGGCAATAGCACATACAGTTTGTACAGTATAAAAACCATTACGCCTATGGAATGTCCCCACAATTCACAAAAACAAAC